AGAGAGAGAGAGAGAGAGAGAGAGAGAGAGAGAGAGAGAGAGAGAGAGATCGACATAATTATATTCAAATAAAGCGCTTTCATTATAATTATCATCTAAATTATATATATTAAATAGTGAAAGGCATATAATTTAAATCATAATGGTTATTTTATGGGCACATATATAAAATCAAAACACACCAGTAATACAAACACAATAACACAGTTATCTAACACTTGGCATTGATTTTTGGCACATATTTTAGCTTTTTCTTAGAAGTAATTTAAAAGTTACTATTATTTTGTTTAAAACAAAAGTAAAACTATTGTACATATCATAGAAAGTGATTGAATTTCTCATATTTCGGGAAAAAATTGTGATTATAAATAAATTTATCGCTGACTTGTGAGCGCAGGAATCAGTAATAATGGGCACAATTACCAAGAAGTTTACGTTTATGGATGAGGACATTGTGATCAGTGGTCTGAGCGGTCGCTTCCCGGAGTCCAACTCCACTGACGAGTTTGCCCGCAATCTGTACGACAACGTAGACATGATTACCGATGACGACCGTCGCTGGCCTTCGGGTAAGTTGTTGCACAAAAAACAATCATGTTATTTTAATTAACAAATTGTAATCATCATGTTTGATGGACCACACAAACCACGTAGAATTATACGGTATGAACTCGCGAATGGGCAAGGTTAAAGAGGTGGACAAGTTTGACGGCAACTTTTTCGGTATCATGTCATCGCTGGCCGACCCGATCGACGCCCAGTCCCGTATGCTATTGGAGATCACATACGAGGCCATTATCGACGCCGGTATGTTTAACAATACCAACATTAACATTATGTTTATATTCTATGATTTATCCTGACACATTTTGACCACTAATATAGGTATAAACCCGCAAAGCCTGCGCGGGTCGTCCACCGGTGTGTACATCGGGTACTCGCAGTTCGGAATGCCTGACGGAGTGCCCGAAGAGATACAACCGGACTCACAGAACTCGCTGACCGACGGACTCCTATGGGTTTCGGGCCATTCCAAGTGTCTGTACGCCAATCGCGTATCGTTTGTGTTTGACTTCAAAGGCCCGTCACTTATCACAGACACCGCCTGTTCCTCCAGTTTAGTGGCCTTTAACATAGCGATGAACGACTTGAGGCTAGGTTTGTGTGTTTTCATATCAGTATTTGCGCATGGTTTGCTTAATTGTGACTTTTTATTTTAACCATGGTTCAATTATTAAATGCTTTATAATTTACTCATAATTATTAATCTAACTTTATTCATAAGTTATAAATGCACTAACGTTAGGTACTTTTTATCTATTACTGGTAGATATTTAATTTAGTATTTTGAGACTAAAATAATCTTGGGTCTGTAGTTCCGTACATTCCATGACTATAATCATTTATCTCCTATAAGCATAATTATTATGAAATTTTACACTTGATTAGTTTGTTTATGAGATAATAAAAAATATATTATCAATTATCTAAACACAAAACAACTTTTCAAATTATAATCAACTACTGTGTCGTTTAAATTAATTTAAAAGTCCTAAAGTATTCGTGGTTACTTTTACGTCAATGAAAAAATAATAATACTAAAAACAAATAATAAATTTAATAAACAATTGATTATTGTTTATTAAATTTAAGTAGACAGATTAAAAATTACCATAACGTATTAAAATATAAAATACAATATGCAAATGACATTTATTATATTTGTCTGTATAATTCTACATAGATCTGTTTGTGTGTTGGGTAGTACTGTACCAAAAATACTTTATATTGTTATATGTCCAGGGCACTTTTAATTAAATCGCAACTTAAAATTTAACACGCACAAGCAGTTATTTAGTAAATTAAAAAAATAATAAATTTGTAAATCCTTATAATTATAATAAGTAAAAATATTTCACACTAATTTGATTAGGATAAATATTTTAAATATTAATACATTTTTGAATTAATTATGGTATGAATCGCTCATTCAAAAGTGCCCTAAACATTTCATAAGCCATATCAATAATTAGTAATTTCTATTCATTTAATTTTAATATACAGCATATAATTGAAGCATGTGTATTGTTTGTGAAATACAAATAATCAAAATTAAAACTATACAGGTAAATGCGACCAAGCAATAGTAGGCGGCACCCAGATCAATTTGCAACCGTTCACGAACCACATATTCCAGACGACACGACTGACCGCAGCCGACGGCATACCCAAAGTGTGGGACCAGTCGGCCGACGGGTTCGTGAGGGGAGAGGCCGTGTCGTGTGTGCTATTGCAGCGCCGATCGCAGGCCAAGCGAGTGTACGCCACTGTACTGAACAGCGGTGTCAACATCGATGGCAACAAACGGATGGGTATGTTCTTCCCCTCCAGCGAGAGTCAGCAACAGCTCATGATGAAGGTGTACGAGGGGGCCGGCGTCGACCCACTCGAGGTCAACTACTTTGAGGCACACGCCACTGGCACCAAGGTCTGCACACAATTTCATACAAATATTGATTAACAATGTTGAATTGTTATAATTAATGAACAATTATTAATTACCTTATTTAAACTATAGTTTTAACTATTGTGTATAAAATTAACTAAATTATTGTTTACTTTATGATAGGCGGGTGACCCCCAGGAGGCGCGTGCGATATACAAGGCGTTTTGCGCTGTGCCTAACCGTAAGGGAACGCTACCCATAGGCCTATTGAAGAGTAACATCGGTCACGCGGAGGGCGCCTCCGGTATGACATCAGTGGCCAAAGTGTTGATATCGTACGAGAATGAGTGCATTCCCGCTAATCTCAATCTCAAACAACTCAAGTCAAGCATTACCGACATGTGTCCGCCACTGATGCCCATCACCAGCAACTATAAGTACACACCCGGTCAGTACATCTTCACTAATTATCATAATTTATTTTAATCACAAATAATCATAATTACTTGTGCTAAATTTAACACGCGTGGTAAATCGTTTTTTACTGTTTTGCGCACAGGTATCGCCGGTATCAACAACTTTGGTGTCGGTGGTGTGAACGCCAGTATACTATTGGCGCCTAATGACAAGTTGCCCGATGAAAATAGTCGGATAATTGCCGACCAGAATCTGCCCCGTATTGTCAACCTGTGCTGTCGTACCGAAGAGGCTCTTAACTACATGTTTAATTTTATTGAGAAAAATCCCAACAAAATCACCAGGGACTTTCTGGCCTTGTTGGCCGATACCATGAAAAACAAGGCTGTTGTTAATTCGGCTGGTTTTCCATTTAGAGGTATGTGTATAGATATACAGTACTAGGTATGGGCTGGGGGGTAGGGCAATGTGAAAGGGGGTAGATGTTATAACATAAAAATAATACAATTAAGTTATGTTCAGTGTATTTTCAATGTTGTAAATGTATCCTAAATCCTATGCATACTTTGCAACACAAATGCTTTGCAGTAAACTCATTGAAATACTGTAAATGTAATGCATTGTAAAGTTATTGTGTGTAAACTATTCATTGACTTCAGTGTTTCAATGCGTTCACTGCATAGCATTTGTGTTGCATTGGATACAAAAGTAAAGTTTTCAACACATGATGAAAACTGTCAAAACTTTACCTCACATTCAAAGTTGGGTTTAATTTTGTTTGACATGTGTTTCACATTTTTAATCTAAATAAATAAATAGTGAAATACTGTTATTATAATAGGTTTGATTAAAATTAAACATGCTGTTAATAATAATTATAAATTTTGCCACCATGGTCAACAGGAACGCTATTTATCAAGCAAACCAAACCAGTGGACGACCATGGTCATTGCGAGTACGAGTACCGACGCCAGCACTCGTTATTCAGCGAGAAGAGCGTACGTCCGCTATACTACTTGTTCGCGGGTTTGGGCGGCCAGTGGTCTGGTATGGCCCGGGCGTTGATGTCCATCAAACTATTCGCCGACAAAATCGATGAATGTCACCAAATTCTGGCCGAAGTCGGTATAGACCTGAAGCGCCTGCTGTTGGCCGACGACAAGCACTCCATGGCGTCGATGACCAGCAAATTTACGGCCACAACAGCCCTTCAGATCGCGCTGTTTGACGTACTCCAGGCTCTGGAGCTCAGACCCGACGGTATTATTGGGCACTCGTTCGGCGAGATTGCCTGCGCCTACGCCGACGGCTGTCTGACCGCTAGGGAGGCGCTGATGGTGTCGTACGTGCGCGGAGTGGTCACCGAAAACGATCGCCGCGTACCTAAGGGTTTGATGGCAGTGGTGGGCCTGTCGTGGGCCGAGGCTCAGGCCCTGTGCCCGCCCGGTGTGTCTGTCGTTTGCAACAACGCCAAGGATGCTGTGGTTGTCTCCGGTATGACTTGATTATCTAATTTTCAATCTAGTTACATTAGTTTAACACACATGTGCCCCCTCACACCCCCCAACCCCTCACACAGGTATCTATGACGAGACCAAAGCCATGATCGAGACGCTGACCCGAAAGGGTGTGTTTGTCAGAGAGCTGGACAGCTGTCACATCCCGTATCACAGCCAGTATCTGACCACTTGCGCGGACGCCATGACCCGCGAGATACGCAAATACGTGCCGGAGCCGCGACTTCGGTCCAAGAAATGGATCTCTACTGCAGTACTGGAGGCCGACCCCAAGGAGGACGCGCTGCGGTACGCCTCCGCCGAGTACTTCATACACAATCTCGTGAATCCGGTCCACTTTCACAACAAAGTACGACACCTGCCGTC